TACTGGTTTGAGGAGGTTGGGGGTAAGCCTGATACGGTTGGGCCGGTTGGTTCCTAGGGTACATTTGCTGGAATTGGTTCTTTACTTGTGGCCTCTAAAATTGCTGGGCCATGGAGTTAGGTGGATGATGATACTATTGGGACTATGAATTGGGTTGATGTGTCCTCCAAGAAAAGTTAGGGTGATTTTTCCACCCAGGGTTGCAAGTATTTGAGAATGGATCGTTGTTGGGCCTTGAGAAACTCTGGGCTGCCTGAACCTGTTCTTGGATAAATGGTGGAAACTGGGCCACTGTGGGACAATCATCAACCTGGTGGGTCGGATTGGCAAAAATGGAGCAAACTTCAGGATAGGGTGTAGATGGGCCCGATTGCTGGTTAAAGGTGAAAAACTGATCAAGCTTTTGGGCTAGAAGATCCACCCTGTCCAATTTTCTCAAGATAGCATTCAAGTCCATTCTTGCCTTGGGCTCTATATTATTCTTGACTTCATAGAGCCCTACCCTCTTTGTGGGTCCCACCGACCTTTCATAGGAATACAAGGATGCATTATTGATGGAGTTTTCACTCAAGGTCTAGAAAAGTGCATACGCTTCATCCTCACTTTTGCTCATAAATGCCCCCCCCCCCTCAGGATGCATCTACCATTTGCTTGTATTGATCCGTCAAACCTTCTATACAATTTGCCACTGGGATAGGCCATGGTGTGGGCATTTTCTCATTAACTCCTTCATTCTCACCCAAGCCTCATGAATTTGTTCACTCGGTGTTTGGGTGAATTCAGTGATGGCTCTTCTCATGGTATTGGTTCGTCCTATAGGGTAGAACTTTCTAAGGAATTCTTGTTGAATTTCTGCCCAAGTTCTAATAGGTCCCCCTATAGTTCCCAATCAGTGTTTGGCCTTACCTTTCAAGGAGAAGGGGAAAAGAGTCAATCTAAGGGCATCATTATTGAAGTTCTGGATCCTTACAGTGGAATAGATTTCCAGAAACTCGTCTATGTGTTTGTATGGGTCCTCACTCGGGTTCCCATAGAAAGAGGGGAGCATCTGGATTGTGCTTGACTTAATCTTATACTGTAGGGCTTGAGTATCTGGCAACTGTGTGCAGGATGAAGGGTTATATTGGGTTGGAGTGAAGTATTCCTTCAACTTTCTGGGTTGGGCATCATTGATTCCGGCCATTTGGTTGCGATGTTGGTGATGGGGGTATCTCTCTATTTCAGGTATGGGTTCTATAGTTTCTCTCCTTAGAGATCTCCTTCCCAACATACAACTCAGAAGTCCCTTTTTCTTGTTGAAATTTGAATTTTAAATTTTTGAATTTTAATTTCAAATTTGGATTTTGAAATTTAAATTCTGAAATTTAAACTCAAATTTGATTTTTTTTTTATATATTTTTTTTGATTTTCTCTTTTTTTTTGAAATTTAAATTTAAATTCTGGTTTTGAAATTTAAATTCAAATTTGAATTTTTAATTTTTTTTTAAAAAATGCAAGGAAATCAACCACACGACCTAGTGCTGACCCAGGGTTTCCTAAACTAGTGGTCCAACCAATGTGAATCCTTTTAGGTTCATTTGGAATTACACCACTTCCTTTGGTTAGCCAGGTAAGAGGTGGGGATTGGAAGGCTCCCCTTGCTCTCGCAATGACCTAATTAAGTAACCACAAAACCCGCTTAGGCTTTGCCGTTTAACCTTATTCCTTAGACACGAACCGCCGGTTATGGAAAGTAATCACAAGCTTCCCTAAAATTCTGCACATTTTTGAACCAAATGTGAGGCTCTCTAAAGGATCTTGCTATTTAAATTTTAAATTAGGGTTTAGGGTGAACCGCACGTGAAGGGTGGTGATTTTTGGGCCAAGGAAGGGTGATGAAATCCCCACCTTATCTTATTTAAGTTGGATTGCCCTTAAATGGATTAACGAAAAAACACAATAAACAAAATAAATGCAACTAATTACAATGCATAAACAATTATTTCTAATATGTAATTCAGCAATTTAACATAAAATAATAAAATAAACTAAACAAAAGAAGCAATTAAATTAATAATAAAAAAGAGACCTAACACATTCACAACTAACAAGATAATTTCAACAATTAAATAATCCTATATGATGCATGCTCTAAAACATATCAAACCCTAAATGTTGGAAGGCAAATGCAAAAATTTTAATTTTTTTTATAATTTTTTTTAATTTCAATTTTAATTTATTTTTATTTTTTATATATATGTTTTTTATTTTTTTTTGATATTCGAAATTTGAAATTTAAACTCATTCGAAAATTTGAACAATTTCCTATTTAACAATTAATTATTCAATTAAATAACTGATTAAAGGACAACTAAATAAAGCAACAAATAATTATTGCAAAGAGAAAAAAATTAATTGTGCTAAAAAAAATTAACAACTACCAAAATAAATTCTAACAAGAAAAAAATAGCTACTCAAAAGATGAAACCGAAAATACAAAAAAAGAAAGATTATGCAGCAATAAAAAAATAAAATAAAATATAAAAACAATGTTTTTTATCTGAAAATAATAAAAAACCTAATAAAACAGAAATTCGAACAAGAAATTAAAATAAAGAAAAAAATAGATCTAGAAACAAAACGAAAGAAAAATAATACTAAAAAAATATAAATCGGATCTAGAAAAAAATTAATTAAAAAATCGAAAATCACTATTCTACCAAAAAAAAGAGTTCTAAAAGAAAAAATAAAAAATAAAAAATAAAATGGGACGACTACACCTGAAACACAATCCAATTTCTCTTCTTTTCTCTTTTTTCTTCCGCAGTCTGACAATGCTCCGGTACCCCACCTTTCGCTATTACGTCCTGCAAAATCAAAGAGAAACAAGAATTAAAATGAGATTACAGATCAAATAATCAAACGAAAATAAACAAATAATGAAACAGATCCGGACAAAGCAAATAAAAATCTTTCTTCGTTGCTTTCCCGGCAATGGCGCGAAAAACTTGGTGTGTCCGGAAGCGTGTCGTTAACCACTTCGACACACTTGTTTTAATATTTATAATTTTTTTCCGATTCTCAAACAATTACAAACGCAGTAAAAGGTGAGAACGGGTCGTATCCATAGGGAAGCGAGGGAAAAATCGTTATTTACTTAAATTTGGGAAAGAGAACACAATTGAGAGTTGTAGAAACACAAAATTGAATTAATTAAACTGAAATTCATTAAAATAAATTTCGAACAGTGTTGAAAGTGAAAAGTGCAGAAAAATAAATAAATAAATAACAGAAATAAATAAATAAAAGCAACGAAATAAAAAGTCTGTAATCCGATCAGAGGTAGCAGTCTCCAGATCTCTCCTTTGACCCTCAAACTTCTCGAGCTAGGCCTTCCGTCTTACATGGTCGAGTTCCAGATCTGCAGAAAAGAAAACAAAAATCAAACTGAATGAAAGTAAATTGCAGAAAGGAAAAAACGGAACTGGAAATGAAAGAATAAAAATTAAATCTAAGACTAATAGTTGGGATCCGAATCCAGAGGTGGCAGTAGTGGATTGGGCGAACTGCAAGCAGGAACCCCTCCTCTTGTCTAGACGTCCTCCTCTTCCTCTACCCTTGAACTTCTCAAGATTAGCCTTCCGTCTTACCTGGGGGCAGAATCCAACCCCTTCTCAGGAGCCCTTGGGTCCTTTTTATAGAGAAGGAGGGACACAACTGGGATTAGAGAGAGAGGGCGGCGGCAACTGTGTTTTAACAAAGATATGGGCGTCCTAGGGTTTCTAATGAAGGGTTAGGATGGTTTTGGGTTGATCCTAAGGCTGAGAAGAGAAGGAGAAGGCGCCCAATTTTATGTAGGGCTGAGATTTGGGCTTCCAAAAATGGAGGGTGGAGATTAAGGCGCCAGGGTTGAAAGGTGGAGATTAAAAGGAGTGGGTGGCACCCTAGTGTGGATAGCTGAGATAGAAAATGGAATGGTGGGCTGAGATCTAATGACTAGAGGCTGAATGTTGAGGATTAGAAATTAGGTGGCACCCTAGGGTTAAAAAGTTACAAAGAGAGTGCCCTAAAATGAATGGTGGAGATTAGAAGGGATTGAAGGTGGACATTGAGCAGGTAGGGGCGGCTAGGGTTTGCTAAGGATGAAAAGAATGAGCTAGAAGGCGCGCCCTAGGCTTTGCTAATGAGAGGGGAGCATGCTAATACAGTAGGAGGGTTACCATTCTGGGTTTACCAAATAGGAGGTGCTCTTCTGTTCTTAGTTTTTCACAAAAACACCCCCTCTCTCAGCTGGACTTCACACCAGCTTCCCAAAAACTGCATTTCAGCCATGTAACTTCCCTAGTTTTCCACAGAAGTTGCACAGAGACCCTCTGAGGTCACAACATTGAATTTAATTAGGAAAAGGGAACACTTTGACTATTGTAAGGCCGAAAATACCCCTGAAATGATGCCCTTAAGGCATCAAAATACAAAGTTATCAAGGGGTTTATGTTTCTGGACAGGTCTTAGTCTAGCAATCTCCCTTTGTTTGTCTTTACATTTTTAATTGTTTGGTGCTAGGTTTAGTCTAACCTAGCTTCTTTTTGTAAGTTGCTTGTTGGACAAGCTAATTTGGGGGGCAAGTTTCTCTTTAAGCTTGTAAGGCTCATTTGGAGGATAATTTTTGGCTAGTGAACAAAGTTTCTCTACAAAATTTGGTGGGATTGCCAAGTTAGAGGGTGTGGTTACCCTCACCCTTAGGTGTTATTGACTAGGTTTTCATCCTATTCCCATTCTTCTCTTCTCTTGTCTTTTGTTCTTTCTTTTGTTAGATCTTTGTTTTTGTGCTACACATCTAGACCTAAGTTTAGCTGCAAGAATACTGTTGAATCACAAAGATCTTGCATTTGTTTGTGTCCATATCCATATCTGGGCATCATATATATCAATATCATGAGAACTAGAGGATGTTTTTCCCTTGAAACTGTACTTTCATTTCCACTGATTGATTAGAACATCATTACAATAATTTCTTGTAGGTATGCCAACATAGTAAGGAGACCATTTTTCAAGCTGCTATTATGGTGCTAATGATTTCTGTAAAGGTATTTCTTTTGTACAACTACTTCTATATGCCCTTGGGATTGAAGTCTAACATGTAACTAAATGTTGTTGTTGATGGAAATGGTTCTTGTGATGTATTTGTTTGTGGTTATTTCAATGGTAAAATAAAAAGCTACTGCCTACATCTTTGTGAATGTTGCTTATTGGGAAAAATCATTGGAAGTGTTTTTTTTGTCTCTATTGATGATATCATACGTAATTAGTGGGTTGTGGTGAATTTCTTCTTGGCAAGTGTAGTTACATATCAAAATTGATCTCTTTTATCTACTAATGAATTTAGTTAAACTTTGATAGTTGTGTTGCAAGTGTTGAGAATGGAGAAAGAAAGGATTAATATTCAAATTGGATTTAGAGAAGGCTTATGATATGGTGGATTGGTCCTTTCTATTGAAAGTGATTAAAAACTTTGGATGTGGGGAGAGGTGGTGTATGTGGATTAGAACTTGTCATTATTCCATATTCGTGAATGGAACTATGGTGGACTTTATTTTGTTCTTAAGAGGAATTAAACAAGGGGACTTGCCTTGTGAGTGGTTAGGAAGTTAGTCGAGATGGGTTCATTACAAATTTGCAATTTGTTGATGGCACGATTTTGTTCTATGAGGGAGGGGATAGAAGGTGGGTTAAGAATTTGAAATTAGCGGTACAACTCTTTGAGCAAATGTCAAATCTGAAAGTGAATTTTGATAGAAGTTGTTTAATGGGATTTAACATGGAGGAAAGGGAATTGGCGGAGAGTGTAGGAATTTTAGGATCTGTGGTGTCTCATTGGCCTTTGAAATATTTGGGTTTACCTTTTGGAGACAATCCAAAGAGGAGTAGTTTTTGGGATCCCATTGTAGAAAGGTTTGCTATAAGGCTTGCCTCTTGGAAGAAAATTACCTTTCTTTGAGAGGTAGGATTATTTTGATCAAATCCACCCTAGCTAACCTACCTGTGTTATTATATCTTTGTCTTTAAGATGTTAGAGGGGTGAGAAAGAAACTAGAAAAGATGATGGGATATTTCTTGTGGTAGATAGAGGCGAGAAGGAAATAGATCATAGAGTTAGATGGGAAGTAGTTAGTAGGAGTATGGGGGTTTAGTTTTAGGAAATTTGCAAAAGAGAAATGTGGCTTTATTGGGCAAATGGCTTTGGAGACTGCTTAAGGATAGGGACAAAGTATGGACAAAGGTAATTGTGAGCATTCACAGGCTCATGTTGGATGGTTGGGATGTTGGAGTACTAACTAGGGCAACAAATGCTATTCTACCTTCTTTCCTACGATGTGTCACATATGAAAGATAAATTTCCTTCTTTGTTTGCCCTTTCAAGATATAAAGACGAGCTTATTTCCACTCTCATAGTTCCTTCTAGTTCAAGCATTGGTTTTGATTGGGATTTAGGCCTAAGAAGGGGTCTAAGGGATTTGGAGTTTTCTTGGCTTTGCTTCATATCTTTAAAGGGGTTTTCTTGGACAGTGTATACCCTTGGCTCCAATCAGAATGATGTACCTTATGACATTTAATGAAAATGAATAAAATACATATCTGATTCATGTTATTATGGTGTGTTTCTGTGTAATACCCTTAAACTGGACACATACGAGACTCGTGTTAGTTTAGAATCTTCACAGCCATTGGATAGATCTGGGGAGATTTATCCTGCAAAGGCTGACACCGATGTGTCGCCAAGTTGGTTGGGGTAGCTTGTCTCAGCTGCCAAGGTGAGACCTGAGATACATGCAGTGTGGGTTTTCTTGACCCTGAACCGGACCAGAATTCCAGTATTGCCTTGGACCTTGGAGATAGATGGGCAAAATTGGAATGTTACACCTGACCCCTAAACTCGATTATGATACTGCACTAGGTGTCGGATTGGGCTATCTTTGATATGCCAATCAGTGAGATCCTTAGAGGGGGTCAAAATCTGGGTATGTTGGGATAGTCCGAGAATTCATCTGAGTGGGTGATCATAGTGATAGGATCAACCGCTTTGTCGGACAAAGTGAATGATCGGGGATGCACTCTCTCTGATGGAAACCAAATCTGCCGGCAGCCAATTTCAACCGTTGAAATTTGTTTTGCAAAATATATTTATATACCGATATACATGTATATATATATATATATTATGGTTTCAAAATGTTTGCAAAAGGTTTTAATTCCCGAGATGCATGTGAGTAGAGAGTGCAACACTGTACCTTGCAGTCGAGGGAGAGGTCCTTTCTTGTCGGGTAGTGTTTGATCATTATGGGCTGTGAGGTTAAGTGTAAGACCATTGAGGGTAATACCTGATGGGCTAATCTTGCATCTGCCCACAGTCCTTGGGTTTTTATAAGGTGGCTTGACCCAGGGACCATTTAGTGTAATTGTTGGGCTCATTAAGAGCCCATGGTGATGGACTCGGGGGTTCACTGTCTCCTACAGTGAATTCGGCTAGGCTGGGTTGAACCCATGTGGCTGAGGTGTAGATCAATGTTTGGGTCCCACGCCATACAAGGATACCCAACTGGGCAGCAGTTTGGAGGATAAGTGAGAACATGGACTTAATGGGCCTAAAGCCCAGGGGTTGTCCCTATCCACTCAGAGAGTCCAGATCCAAATAGAGATTTGGATCAAGAAACTCCTAATCAGATTAGGAGGGCTGATCTTTGTCTGCAGATAAGATAAGGGATTATCCTTATCTCTTAAAGAGAGTCCAGATCCAAATACAAGATTTGGATTAGGAAACTCCTAATGGGATTAGGAGAACCTGTAGGAGCGATCAAGAAAGGTTCTTGATATCAGTTTTTGGTGAAAAACTGATCTAAAGTTGTGTTCACTCACCCTCCATCGAATTCTTGCTGAAGAGTTCGGTTCTTGCTGAAGAACCACTTGCTGATTCTGCTCGACCCTACGCTGAGTCATCTTCAGTGGGAGTAGTCTTTGGCGTTTTCCTTGGGCATGAACACCTTCATTGGGAGTTACTGCTACTCTGTATCAGGTATATCCCTCTCCTACCTTTTGGTTTCAGATCTGGTCTRGTTTAGGRTTCAAGATTGATCCTTGAAAATGCAGTTTTCTAAAATAGGGAATGTGATTCCCACATTGGAGAGAGAAATTTTTGAAATTTCGCCCAACCTACCTATAGGGTTCGGCCATCCATATGATGGATCTCTCATCCCTTCAGTCTAATGGATTTGGAGTTAAACAATGTCTTGGCTTTGCTTCATATCTTTAAAGGGGTTTTCTTAGACCCATCCAAACTTGATAGTCGAATTTGGACTCACTCCACTTTACCTTCTCTTGTACTAACTTTTTCAGGGTCTTAACCCTCGGTTAGTTTAGGGCAACCTTTCCCTATTAAGGAGGTTTGGTGTAAATCTATCTCTCCTAGAATTGGAGATTTTTGGTGGGAAACGTTCCTAGAAAGAAAAAATGCTTCAGATTTGCTTCGAAGAAAAGACTGAGTTGGTGCTCATCCCCGCATTTGTGTGTGCTTTGTAAAACTAATAAAGTCTTGCTATCACTTATTAACCTCCTACCCCTTCGTAATTTCCATTATGGGAATGGCTTCTCTCCTTGTTTGGGTGTCGGTGGACCCCTTGCCAAAGTTTTGTTTAGTTATTTTCTCTCTTTATTTTTGCTGTAGTGGGCTGGCTCCATGGGCCTTAAAGTTTTTTATTTCTTATGTTCTTTTGGTCAACCGCCTAACTAGGGGCACTCATGTAATTTCCCTTTTATTTTATTTCAGCATATATATATATATTAAGGGAGTGAGAGAGGGAAGATTCAACTCTTTTCTCTTCCTATTTTTTTCCATCTTCTTCCTTCTTATTTTATTCTTATAATACAATGAAGTTATTGTTGGGCTGGTTTTCTTCTTGGTATTAGAGCAAGTTTCCACAATGTGTATGGAGAAGTAAGCTATTGATCGATTGAAAATTGATGTTGCCTAGTTAGGGGAGATTTTTCAAGAAGATTTATCACTTAGATTTAGGCTTAAGGTAGTCTCTTGGAGAATTTTCTTAGAAACCCTAGCTGATGGATAAATCGGACTAAGGGGTTTGGAGACAGTTTGAAGTTGGCGCTTGGGGCTTAAAAGGGAGTTTACCGATCTATTTGGAGATCGACTCTAGTTGGAGTTTTGGAAAAGTTTCTAGAGTCCCTGGTAGGATTGGTTATAAGTTATCTCTTTCTCACATTTTCTCCTATTCTGTCGGGTGTTGTGAAACCCTAGTTTTTTGTTATAGAAAAGCTTAAATTGGTGCTTTTTGATAGTAGTATCTTATTTTAATTATCATTTGCCTCCGTTTGGTTAATAAAGCATACTGTAGGTGAGACAAAATAATATCCTATAAAGTCCAGATGTGGTCAGGGGTCCGTAGAGAATCTTTGTGGGGCAGTGGCTACTGTGAAGCTAGATGGGACAAACTATTTGGCATGGCCTCAATTAAGAGAAATTTATGTTTGTAGTAGAGGAAAATGGGGGTATATCATTGGGAGTAAGGCAAAACCCAAGGAGGATGATCCTACCTATGAGAAGTGGATGCGGGAAAGTTACATTGTTGTATGTTGGTTGGTGAGTTCTATGCAACATTATATCAGTCAACACTACTTGTGGATAGAGACTACTAAAGTATGGGATATTGTTGAAGAGGACCTACTCACAGAATCTAAATGTTGCTAGGGCCTATAAATTGAAGAACGATGTGAATAATTTGAGATAGGGGAGAAGCCCTTAGTTGTGTATTTCTCAATATTGAAGTCTATGTGGCAGGAAATTGATTTGATGGAGATTTATCAAAGAAAAAAAAAAGATTTGATGGAGACAATTCAATGGGGATGCATAAAAGATGCTAGAACCCATAGGAAGCCTGTGAGAGGAACCAGGTGTTTGAGTTCCTAATTGGCTTAATCTTGAGTATGATATAGTCAGATAGAATGTGTTAGCTAACTGGGCTTATGCTATGGTTAGTAGTGATGAAAGTAGGAGACATGTTCAGATTCTAGGTGTCCTAGTAGAGCACTTTGCTCATGCTGGGACGGAGCAGGTGATTATTGAGAGAAAAGAGGTTGTGTGTGAATATCGGAAGAAGTTGAAGAACAATAAAGGCACCTTTTGGAAGTTACATCTAGAGCTCCTACCTCCCAGATGTTAGACAGTGTATGCTCTTAGCACCAATTAGATTGATGTATAGATACATTTATTGTAAATGAATAAAAGTACATTATTGTTTCATGTTGATATTGGTATGTTTTTGTGTAATTACCTCTTAAACTGGACACTTATGAGACTCATGTTAGCTTAGAATGTTCTCAGCCGTTGGATAGACTTGGGGAGTTTATCCTACCAAAACTGACACTGATGTGTTGCCAAAGAAATTGGGGCATCTCGTCTCAACTGCTAGGGTTAGACCCAATGTTCTCAGCCGCTCTGGTTCGCTTGCTTTGCTAATGTTGTTCATTCATTCATTGCAATAAAATATTTTCTTAGAAGGCAATAAAAGTTAGAAAATCATTATTTTTTATGTGAGAAATAAGAATTTCAAACCCTAACATAGACTTGTTCGGACTTGCCTCGAGGGGCATGGTACAAAGGCGACTCAAATGCAATATGTTTTACATCACATGGTGGAAACATGTCAAAGATGTCAAAGATGTCGGAGATATTGTAAAACATGTCAAAATTATTGACATGGTGGAAACACTCTAAAATATGTAAAATATAGAACGACATTTTATGAAATGATAAAAGAAACATAGGTACACCTTTAAATTATTATCTTGTTCCAAATCACTAAACAAATCTAGGAAACTAAGGTTGTGGACAAAAGAATATGTTCTGAAGTTGCCCTATAAACTTTAAGATTCAGAGCTTCATGATAGAATAAGTTAATACAAAATGTAAACTCATAGAAAATGCAAATGGTTGTAATAGATCAACCAAATAATCTATTACACAAACAAAAACTAATATAACTTAATGTTTGAAATGAATATTGAGCTAGCTCAAAGTGGTAATCATGTAAGTTAGGTAGGCAATAACATTGTTCCTCCATATATCTGCAATATTATCACCGACTGATGTTATAATACTATTTCTTGTACTCCACATATTGCTGGTAGTGTTCATTGGGGAATATGTTGATTCCGGTAAAATCTCGTGTTGCTACCCATTGAAATGAAAATGTCATGAAAATATAAGGGAAATTAGTGACATTGTAAGCCATGTCCTACGCATGTCAAATTGATGCGCCAATAGCTTCTTGTCTTTGTTGAAGAAACCCCAATTGCCGTCTTATCTTTTTTGCCTTGTTCTTTTTGAAATATTCTCCTGTTGCTTCTTTACTTTTCAAAACATGTTTACCCTAGGATACTTAAATAGTTGAATCATGTAAATGTTAACTTTTCTTGATATTTCTTCATTATGCTATGTCTGGTAGAATGCTTGTAAATGCGGTTGGTTTTCAGCAAAAGATACTGAGGACCTTCTTAGCTTGGCAAAAGAGGTTTGTATCTCCTCTCTATGTATATGTGTTCATATTTATATAATTCAGTTGCCAATTTTTCTTCTACACTTGTTATTTTCCTTTATGGCATTTCAGAAAATTTGACAAACCCTAGTCTTTCTGTGTTTTTAGATAGAAAACCTCTTCTGTAGTGGGGGGTGTGCCAATATTGAGCCAAGTCATTCTCTTCCTGTTATTTCAAATGTCATGACCAGGTATTTACTTTGATATGCAGTGCTTCTTATTACATAAACTTCATCTTCTATTAGTTGAAAATAGTTTGTACTCTGACATTAAAATTTTCTCCAACTTGAAGTTTTGATTTTTGAGAGAGGAAATAGTCATGAAACAGTTTTGATTTTGGTAAGCGACATTTCCATCGACATCGTCATTTTAAACCTTGGGAAGGATTGTGTGGAGGGTTGCATGCTTGCAGTCTTTTGGAGCTTGGGCCATATAGGTTGAGAGAAATTCAAGGTTATATGAAAGCAAATATGGAGCAGAAGATCGAGTGTTAGCTAAAATGAAGGCTAGAATTATTTCTTGGGTGGGTGCATAGGACATTTTATTGGAAACCAATATGATAATTTTTTTAGTCAAAAGATTTCTTTTCCTAAATCTTGTGATATAAGGCTGTAAGTTTGTATTTTCCCTTTGTATAGATCCTTAATATGCATAGGTGTCTGAAAGTTTTGACTAATAAATGGTTATACTTAGCCTTTTTCAAAGAAAAAGACAAAAAACACCCTCTTTAAGGTAAAGGGAACACATGAGGGGTGGGTATTAGGGTGCTCTAATTTTCCTGCTTCATTGAAGCATCTCTCTAATGTTTATTTTCTTCATCGAAGCTTTCCACCAGAGTGCTTTAATTTTCCTGAGAAGTAGAGCCTTTCCACAAAGCTTTAATCAGGGATAGATTAGCATTGAGAGGGGTGTGGTCAACGACTTCAAAGAAAGGCTTACAAGAGAAACAACTATGCGGGTCAATGGACCAAATTCTTTGATCTGAAACTTTATTTAATAGGAAAACATCTGTAAGGAAATTGAGAGGATTAATTATCTCACCATTCTCCTCATGATCTGTAAGACCTCTCCTGAACCCTAAATCCCAATTAATCCCTGATGCATAGTAGGAAACTAATTATGATATAGGTTCATTCTTCTAAAAGGTGGAGTACAATTTAGGAAGTTTTAGGCTCAAAGTAGTATTCCTCTACTAAGTGTCTTCCAAAATTTTTACCATATTGCCTGAAATTAAGTTATACCTGATTTTTCTTTAATAATTGATCATTTGTATGTGTAGTTAAATAATTTTCGTGTTTCTCACTCTTAAATTCTCTTACAGATTTTATCCTCGAATTAGAATGGGTCATATACTTACTTGTCTTCAAATTAAGGTATGGTGTTTTTTGTCTGTCAATCACTGATTTCCTTTTGTTAATATTTTAGGATTGATTATCATGTAACTAGTCGTTTACTTGTTATATAGCCTGGATATGGGGCTTTTGTGACCGACTTCCAAATCTCGAAGACTATGGTGTCTGCTACAAAAGAAAGCATTGTAAGATTCTTCTTCTTCTGAGGTCAAAAATGGTTCTGGAAGTTGTTTTATTTATGTGTCATATTGCTTGCTCACAAATTCCTCTGTCAAGAATTAAACGTTCATTTGATCTAAATATAAATGCAAGGGTGTTTGTGCATCTCTACTCTTTATGTTTCTTATTGTACTAAAACCATAATGTTATCACTGAAGTTTCAACCCTATTCAACACATCTTTTGATGTCTTTTACTCCAATGCTTGAACATGCTTTATGTACCTAAATGGTGGGGACTGACAGAGATGAGGAGTAGTCTAATCTGTCTCAATGTGAACAACTAAAAAACATGGTGGAGACTTAACTTTTTTTAGTGGTATTGAGGATCAGTTTTGAAGGAATTAGATGTACTTTAAATTATATTTAACTTGATTCCTGTTAGAATCAAGTCACCGGATTTGATGTCTTCCACCTCAAAACTATTAACTTCTTGTATTAAAGGGCTGTTCGGATTTCTCTCCAAGACCAATGTACTCCTCTGCGTTAATGATTCTATGTGCATAAACTAAAGCCACTATAGGATATTGAACCTTGAAGACTGGAAGAAAATTGAATGGAGGGGGTTAGGTTCTATAAATGGTTCCATCTTTCTTCTACTTGTCTCTCAACTCAAAGAAGGACCTCCTATAAGATCTAGTCATTGTGATGTTAAATTCTGATGTTCCAGCGAAGTGGAAGGCAGGAATTGATGAAAAACTCAAAGAACTCAAGGTACGTTTGTAGATGCCCACCACCCACATGAGTTTGAACTATACAGGGTATATTTTGAAAATTTGAAAGAAAATGAAGGGTAAAAACGTCACAGGGTATATTTGTCTTTTTCAAAAACTCAGGGTATGTTTAAGTCAATTTACAAAAAACTCAGGGTATGTTTAAGTCTTTTACCCTTTATGTTATCGTTAGTGAGAAATCCAAGTTATCTGACTATGACTAGATTGGATACATCATATGTAATCCAGGTGGTTAGTTGTCTCGTTGTTGCCACTCACATCTCATTACAATTAAAGCAATAGTTAGCTACTTAAAAAGGGACTCCTGCAAAGAACTTTTCTTCTCTTCTTCATCATCATTTCACTTGAAGGCATATGTTGATGTTCATTTGGAAGGTTATCCAGATACTCTCAACTATAACGTTGTCTTTTTCCTGGTGATTATCTGATGTCATGGAAACACAAGAAAGAAAATGCAATCTCAAAGCCCTCTAAAGAAAGAATATCAGGCAATGTGTTTGGTTGTAGGGAGATTAAGTCATAGAAAAAACATTTTCCTTTTTATTGAAAGGCATGCCCTTTCAGGCAAAGTTCATTTTGCTTGAACCCAGCCCTAGCTTGTTAATGTCTTGATGCATAAACTTTGACTTTGATGTTCAATACATAATTTACTTTATTGTAGACTGTATTAATGACACTCAGAATTTGAAAATTTAGCTGAAGTAGCACTTGAATGTGCAAGACTGCAACCTTCATGATAATAACACAATACTCTAACCACTTGAAGCAGTAGATTTTTTTACGTATTTTATTTCTTTCTGAATATATATGTGCATATTTCTTGTGTTAAGATTTTTTTTTATTCTTTCAAAATTGCCACTTTAGTTTACCCAAGCACACACTTGTGGCTTACACTTCAGCATTCATGAACCCCTTGCACTTTAGTTGTGCTTCTTGCATTTAAACATCAAGTAATTGAGACAAGAGTTTCTCTATCTAGAAAAACTTACAGAAAATAAGGTTTTGAGGAATTCACTAGGATTGATTCGACCTTCTAGGGTTGTTGATTTATGTCATGAGTTCAGAGGCTGAAACTGCTGATCATAAGTATAAATAGAAGAGAGAGAAGAGAAAGAGAACCTAAAATAAATTAATGTACACCTAGAGTTGCTTCGGGGTTTATGGAAACATACACCGTATGAGCATAGGCTTAGAAACTCAAACAATTCAATGCCTGTTTGGGAGGGCTTCTGTGTTAGAGGTGAGTTTCATTGATTAAGGCATGGTCATTGAGCACATGTGTTTTGGACAAGCTACCTAGAGTAGCTTCAGTTTACAGTCATGTTCTGTGTTCGGAATGCCAATATTGGCTTTGCAGATTTTCACTAAACACAGATTTTATGAGTTTCATGTGGGGCCCATCTCAGAATGCGAGAAGCCACGTCTCGAAGCCCTCCCGAACAGGCACTCAGTTCGCTGATAGTTGAAAACATTCAAGTCACACATATATGCATATATGCATTAATTCAAATAAAACTAATAAAGTTTTTGTCAATGAGGACAATTTTCCTTGTTAAATTTTCCAAGAAGTTAGGTCTTGTAGCTGGCAACTGGTAAAAGAGTCAAAATCCACTCTAGCTTTTCTTTTCTTTTCTTTTTTTTTTTTGAGCAAAAGGTAATGCACTATTCCGAGTTCAAATAATTCATATGCAAAAAGGCATGTATAGTGACTTGCTATATTAGCATGCCCAGGACACAAAAACATTAGGCTCACCTCACTTTCTTCTCAGGTAAACATTGTTTCAAAATATTAAGCTCACTATTTCAAAATACATTCTAGCTTTCTTCATTACTAGTATTAGTAGGAAATGACACCTTTGTCCTTAACAAATCATCATGTTAGTTGTTGTATATAAGCAAAAATTTTGATTTTCAAGTTTTTGAAAATGATAAAATTGCTTTTCAAAAAACGGATGAATCTACAACTAGATGTGTTCATTATTTGGTCCAGACTGTCAAACTGAAAAGAACCAAACTGAAATTGGTAGTTTGGTTAGTTGTTGTATACTAAGTGTACATTATTTTACATGTATTTGGGCGGCTGGGTAGTTTAGTAATTATGTCTTGAAGTAAGGACACTCTAGTCCACTGTTTTTCATAAAGAAGGGTATATTTGTAATTCAGCCTTTATTTAAAGTTTAATATAAAGCTGGGCCAACTGCTTAGAGGGGATTAAGACATTTTAATCTCCCTCCAATCTGTTTGGTAGATTTTCTCCATTCTCCTCTTTCTTCTCTTCTCTTCTATTTTCTTTCTTTCTTCCTTTCCATTTCGATCTGAACTGTTCTTTGCTTTTGTAATACCATATTTTCACATGGTATCAGACCAGGGAACAAGAGAAAGATCTGATTAGGGCATTCTTCTACCATCAAACTTATTAGGGTTCCTTCTAGAAGACTAACTTTTTGCTACAGGGGATTGAAACTGTTTCTAGGTGATTAGTGATGGTTCTAACCATCACAGGTGTTGTGATTGGTGATTAGTGATATTTGTGACCTACTGGATCGAAACCAAGAGGAAAAGTGATGGTGGGTTCTGATTAGTACTGTGAAGTGAAAATTTTCTTGTAATTTTGTGATGGGACTGATTCTATGTAAAGACTACTGGAACAGACCAACAGAAAGCAGTTAATCAGTTTTACAAGAGGAGGCTACGTCAGCACAATTAATCGTCCACTTGCAACAACTGTAATAGAAAGAAATCAGATTGTAAACAGTATAAGTAGTGAAGCACAAAGAGAAATAAGACAATAATTCTTTCGGCAGTAATCTCTCTCTCTCTCTCTCTCTCTCTCCTTCCAACGAATTTAGGAGGTTGGCTCCCTCGAAGAGCCCTGGGTTAGGCAGGTTCCTAACAAGTTGGTATCAGAGCTAGCATGACCAACACAAGAAACACATCAGTAGACACCCGAGTGGATCAGATGGAGGTAGAGATCCATCGAATGCCTTTAGATCTCAAAGAAATGAAGGAAGGTTTCATTGCTCTCCTCAATCGGATGGAGCAGGGGGCAACGGACAACGACAGAGGAAGCCAAGAAGAGCGCAGCAATGAAAACAACCGTAGAACAGGGCCGGTGGCAACTAGAGCAACCAAAATCGATTTCCCCATCTTCTCAGGCGGCGACCCAACTCCCTGGATTCTCAGAGACGAACGGTATTTCGATTACCATGAGACACCTGGGCAAGACAGGGTAGCTCTGGCTTCTGCGCATCTTGAAGGGGAAGCTATCCTCTAGTTTCAATGGTACCGACGGGGGTACCCTCGTCAAACTTGGGCAGACTTCACTGATGCCATGACTATCTGTTTTGGATTGTCTGGGTTCGAAGATCATGATGAGAGTTTGGCAAAGCTACGATAGGTAGGATCAGTTAAAGATTACTAGATGGAGTTCGAAAAATTGGCCGTAAGAGTCCAAGGGTGGACGGAGAAGGCATTGGTGGGAAGCTTAGTCGGCGGCCTAAAAGAAGAATTGCGACTGGAAGTGAAGGCGATGCAGCCCACTTCGGTCATAAATGCGGTAGCGCTAGCAAGATCGTATGAGGATAAGTTCGCTCGAGCAAGAAAGGTGCAACGACCATGGGGTCCAAGAACCAGGACGACAACACCAGACAAGGAGGAAGGAATACTGGGCTCAGGCCCATTGGTTCCTTTCAAACGGCTGACCTGGGCAGAGATGCAAGCCTGCAGAGACAAAGGACTCTATTACAACTGCGAAGAGAAATTTGGGCCGGGTCATCAGTGCAAGAAACAACAAGCATTTCTCCTCCAAACAGATGCCGAAGAGGAAGACGACCTCACTGGTTGCGGGGAATCTAACCCAGGGTGGGAAATACAATCCAATGGCACACCTAAAATATCTCTACAAGCCCTTACGGAACTTGCATCCCCTCAAACAATGAGAGTTGCAGGGCTAATCCAGGGATGCCAAGTGTCAATCCTCATAGACAGTGGCAGTTCCCTTAACTTCATAACTCAAGTCTTGGTGGATAAAATGG